CACGATGTAGGAAATGGCTTAGGAAATAGTAAAGTATGAGCATAGTGTGGGAACCGTCTGTGGCAGTTAGATTAATGTATCTTCAATCCTACAATGCTATGAGAAGGCATTGAAAGAGGCCCCTCGACGTAGGAAGTGGTGAAAGAAGTAGTAAAGGCTGGCAGTGCAGAGTGGGGGAACCGTTTGGGCAGATAGATAAATGTATCTAATACTTAAATGTTATGAGAAGGGAAGGAAATGGTCTATGACATTGGAAATGGCGAATGAAGTAGTAAGGCTTGCAGTGCAGAGTGTGGGAACTGTCTTTGACAATTACATTAATGTATCTGCAATCCTTAAAGACTATGGGAAGAGGGGAAAACAGGTCTAGACGTGTAGGGGGTGGTGAAGGAAGTAGTAAAGGTGAGATGTGTTGAGTGTGGGAATGAATTAATTAATCCACAATTCTAAAATGCTATGGGAAGAGACTGTAGACTGTAGGTTAAAACTATTACGAAGCACGAATCGATACATATGTCGATAAATGCAATAGTTTACAATAGACATTTACAAATAAGTTGAAAACAGCTGATTTTTACTCCATAGAGACTAAAAAAGATTTTTACTCCCTAAAGAGTAAAAATGCTACTTTAACTGCTACATACGATTGTTTTTACTGCAGAATTACAAAAACAATATAATATGAACCCTTGATGACTCCGCTCAATTTTGTGGATGCCTCTGCAAACGCCACCTAGTTTTATTAAGAAATTATTGAACATTGCATAGTTAACATTTGTATTTCTTCTAGAAAATGGATTCCAAGTACATTATTATTTACAAAGTAATTAATACAAATTACAAATACCCTCGCCGCAGCAAACCTGCAGACTAAGTAATTTTCCATTTACCTGGCTGGATTTATACTAAAATATTCCCTAAAAATTGTCAAATTTATTTCCTATTTAATTAACATTAATTTTAGGGACTACTTAGATTTGCTGCTACAGGGAAGATATTGAGATGTGTTTTTTATTGCAATGTTGATAGCTTAGTATTAAATAAACACAGTTTTCAAATGTGGGTTAAATATATCCATAAACAAGCAAACTACAACAGTTTATTTATTGTCCATAAGAATAACATGGGAATTTAAATTTACAATTTTTTGAGTCATCCCCGTAACCCTTGGGCATACAACAACGCTTCAATATACAAATAAATTATTTATTTGTTTAAGCTCTACAAAATTATAAATTATATATAAATATAATTATAGGTTTGGAAAGAAATTATAAAATTTTGTGCTTTTGGGGTCAAAAATGGGAAAATCAATTTTTACCATATAAAAACCCCCATAAACCCCCGCTCCCATTATGATTGTTCGTAAACTCATTAGAATAGATGTAGGTTTACAGGTTTTTACCAAATTTCATCAAAATCGGATCATTGAACATTGGATATTTAACATTTATATTACTTCTAGAAAATGTATTCCAAGTACATTATTATTTACAAAGTAATTAATATGAATTACAAAAAACTGATCAGATTTTTTTGTCACTTTTGTCGTGAATCATGAATTGTTTCAGGTCTAACTTCCTTCTCCTCTGTACGCGCGTCATAACTTATTTTTGGTTTTTCTTTCCCTGGTGGGTTGGTGCAAGAAACGCCTTAAGAGTGTTGTATATTTGACTCTGTACTTCCTACAAGTGCAACCACTTTTACACCCTTCCGCACACTTACATGAGATATTGTTAAGAGGATCTGGTAGTGCAGCTTCAACGCACCAATCCACCAGAGAAAGAAAAACCACAAATAAGCTATGACGCGCGTACAGAGGAGGAGGCAGTTAGACCTGCAGTTCCGGATTCACCACGAAAGAGACAAAAAAATCTGATAAGTTTTTAGCAAATTTCCCATATAGGGAATAAGCTATTACCGCAGGTCTCATGGTAAGACCTAGAACCGGGACAGATTTACTTTTTTGTTTTAAGGTCCCCAGAAGCCAAAAACACCATCATCCGTTTAAATTTATATATATATTTATTTATTTACATATGTTATATATATGTCCGTTAGCACGATAACTCGAGCAAAAATTATCCGATTTTGATGAAATTTGGTACAAACGTGTAAACCTACATTTATTCGAACGAGTTCACGAACCATCATAATGAGTAAATAAGAATCATAATAATCGTTCTATGGGAGCGGGGGTTTATGGGGGGTTTTATATGGTAAAATTTGATTTTTCCCATTTTTGACCCAAAAAGTACAAAATTTCATGATTTCTCTCCAAACCATTTTGTAGAGCTTAAACAAATAAATAATTTATTTGTAAATTGAAGCGTTGTACGCCCAATGGTTACGGGGATGATTAAAAAAATTGTAAATTTAAATTCCCACATTATTCTTATGGAGAATAAATAAACTGTTGTAGTTTGTTTGTTTATGGATACATTTAAACCAAATTTGAAAACTGTGTTTATTTAATACTAAGCTATCTGCTTTGCAATAAAAAATACATCTCAATATCTTCCCAGTAGCAGCAATCCTAAGGACTCACTAACATTAATGTTAATTAAAAAGGAAATAAATCTGACAATTTTTAGGGAATATTTTAGTATAAATCCAGCCAGGTAAATGGAAAATCATTTAGTCTGCAGGTTTGCTGCGGCGAGGGTATTTGTAATTCGTATTAATTACTTTGTAAATAATAATGTACTTGGAATCCATTTTCTAGAAGAAATATAAATGTTAAATATGCAATGTTCAATAATTTCTTAATAAAATAACTTGATTTAAATTACTATAAATAACTTAATATTGGTTTGATATTATCACCAGATACTCAATGGATGCGTAATTTTATACTCTACGATTCCTTTATTATGTGTTATTCTGTAGGCTGGACGGTTCTTTGACGTTTTAGTAAAAACTAAAAAACAACCCTACATTTCAAGGTTTTTGTGGTCCCAGGTAAGAAGCTCACCTGGAAAAATGGGACAAACTTCAAATCCTTTTACTTCTATACAAAACAAAAAGATTAAAAAGATTTCCAGCTTTCCAAGAATTATTTCCAGGCACAGCCAAGTTTTAACTAATATTTTACTGGCCTAATGTCTAGCTCTAAGTATTTGCTTTATCTTTGTAAGTATCTGTATTTCAGAGTCTGGGTTTTCATTGTTTCCTTCAATTTCTTAAAATGTTCTAATTATTATAGTTACATACTTTTTGTTTTACTTCCTAGATATTGGTGAATTTTGTTTTCTTTGTTGTCTTTTCCACAAAAGTTATTGGACTAAAGGTAAATTTAATTTATAATTAATTTTCTTACCCTTTTCAGAGAATTTTTTGTTATTGATAAGTATTAGTTGAGACTCCCGCCCACACACAGAAGTTTTAATCTTCTTTGGGTGTGTATATTTCTTCGCAAGTTAAAGCAAACTGTTTTTAAAACGTTTTTATTAGCTCGCTTTCTTGTCCGGTACAAATTTTGCAATCAATTTTATACTAACTTCCCGGTGAGCTAGAGACTTGAAACTTGAAATATAGCTCACAAATGGAAGACAATGCAATATTATACCATTTAATTTTCATATTTCCCTTGGGCTACGCCCCATGGGCTTGTTTTTATTAACTCGCTTTCTTGCAAATTTTGATACTTCCCGATGAGCTAGAGACTTGAAACTTGAAACATAGCTCACAAATGGATGACAATGCAATATTATATCATCTAATTTTAATATTTCCCTTGGGCTACGCCCCATGGGCTTGTTTTTATTAGCTCGCTTTCCTACAAATTTTGATATCAATTATAAACGAAGTTCCTAATGAGCTAGAGACTTGAAATTTGAAAAATAGCTCACAAATGGATGACAATGCAACATTATATCATTTAATTTTCATATTACCCTTGGGTTACGCCCCATGGGCTTCCAAATTTTCCATGTTTACATTTTTAAAGAATGTAAATATATAAATTAATTTAAGTCAGCTGTAAATACTTAAATTTGACAGTTCCAAGAGCAGAGGTTAAGAGGTACAGGTTATGCTCCCAAGAGATTCTTTATACAAACAAAAGCTTCAAAATAAAGATAAACAATCTGATTGCATATATAAAGGTGTTTGTTAATAATGTCAATTGTAATTTATTTAGTATTCTATAAAGTAAACAATAAATTAAATAGATTGATATATTTATAGTTAGTAGGTAGGCCATACATTCAATCTAATACATAATTCTATGAAAAGAAACTCAAATAAACCTTAGATTTCCCACGTGCCTCTGTCTTAATCTGTTATAGACGCTTGAAATAGATTTAACATCCACACACATTAAAAACTAAAAAATAGAAAATAATTTATAAATAAAAAACCTTTTTAAAACAAAACGTTTTTAAACGCACTAAAAAGTATGAAATAATTTATGAATATGTGGAGAGTATAAATACTTTTAAGATTTAAATCAAAAAACGTGGGGTGCATGCAGTTGATAATAATACATTAGTTCAACAGGTGAATGTAATTGACAATTGTAAACTATCTATTGCATGCACCCCACGTTTTTTGTTTTAAATCTTAAAAGTATTTATACTCTCCACATATTCATAAATTATTTCATACTTTTTAGTGCGTTTAAAAACGTTTTGTTTTAAAAAAGTTTTTTATTTATAAATTATTATTTAATTAATTAACAATAAGTTTTAATTACATTGTAAAATAATTTGTTTTTATAGATCTTTGTAATTTTATTGTATTACTTGTGGAGAAATAAACATTTATTATTATTAATATTATAGTACCTATTATGTTACTAGGATTGCTTTCATAAGAGTGAAGGCCAATCAAGGTAGCAATACTTAAAGGCTAAAGCAATACCGTAAAAACAGAACTTTATACATATCTTCTTATATATTAAATGATTAAAGAATGTTAATAATAGTAAAACTATCAGCAGTAAACAATGACTTAATATGTAACAATATTTAATACTGGTATGTAGTGGTATTACTTGCCTTGCAAGTGTCCTTGCATTGGATTCAGTAGCAGAAACTGTCTTATTGTTTGGTTTGATTTTTTCATGTCTGCTGGAGCTGTTGATGTAGCTGACTCCTCCTAAAGCAATAATCAAAAACAGTTATTCGTCAATCCCAATATATTCCAAAAACATACCTATTAATGATATTGTATTTGGTAGAACCCCTCATATCCGACCTCGGCATAACCGACTCCACTGGATATCTGACCTAGTGTCCATCTACTTGTTACCTCATAGGCGATAGCACTGCTACACTGAGCGTGTTTGGTTATCCGATAGGCCATGGGCCATGGGTGTTGCGGTTATTGCGGCAGACGAATACTAGTGTCACAGAGCCTGCAAGACATTTTCAAGGCCTTTGCCCTGATCACGGGAAACGATTACCGGTTTCTCTGATATCGCAAGACATGCTCATGATCATAGTCATAACCAGTATTGCTGAGACCGCAAATATATTCTCCTTCCAATATCCCACCTTTTGACCGTTCCGACCATGCCCCGGTCTTGTCATGGTCAGGTATGAGAGGTTCTACTGTGTTAACATTTCATGCACATACACATTGCCTCTACTAAAATTCTACAAAATTGAATAAAGTGTATTTATAAAGAAGCAGTTAGGGCCTGTGCAAAGTATTTCTCTTGAACATGTGAGGGTATTTTTTGGCGCCCCTGCAATGTACAACCCCCACCTTACCTCTCCACAAGTATCCTCTTTATATCAATATCTAGTTAATACATTGTCAAATGTACTACCGTCAAATAAATATATTTAATTAGACATACAAATAGTCTTATACACAACATTAACAAAGACTATGAAGTTAAAAAACAAGTATTTTCTGTATACATCTATATAGCTACCTTCATATTTATTATGCCACATGCAAACATTGTTTCATTGCTTATGTCCTACCCTACCACCACATACAGTAGAACCTCTCATATTTGGCCACCACGGGACCAAGACCTTGGCCGGATAAACCAATCTCCTATGAAAATGATAATTCATACCTAACAATAATAGAGGTTACGCCTTTAAAATAAGGTAAAATGTAAACAAATAGATAAATAGTGAGAATACTCAAGTAGCATAGACTAGTGCTTGCATCTACATGTCTGTGAGCTGTGAGAAAAAATCTTGATATTGCCTTCCTGGAAGAGGCCGGATAAACCCATCGATATATAACTACTACTAGTAGTTATATATCGATAACTGAACTATAGTTATACTAGTAGTAGTAGTTATATATCGATGGATAAACCAAGGACTGGTAAAACTGAGGCCGGTTATCAGGGGTTCTACTGTATTATATATTTAACACACTTCTACTAGGTGTGCAGATGGGCAAACTGGCTTTAGATTTTGGACCTAAGTCATAACACTCAAAAACCCACAATAAAAACAAAGTTGTATTTTGTTTACATTTCTACACAGGGTTGCCATGGATCCATTGGGCTGGTAGATGAGTCAATTCTAATAGTCCTTGAGTGAAATGTTTGATACAAATTTCATATGAAAATTTAAACTTTCTTACTAGAGTTATCTTTCTTACAGAAAAATTTGCAGGGTTATAATAAGGTGTTCTCATTTTCTAGCATATTAACACGTTCGCTACTGCAATAGTACGAAATTTTTCATTCACATGGACCAGCGACGCTCATATGCGACGGCTAGTCACATTAAAATAGACTGCCGTCGCATATTTTTTGCGTCGGGTTTCTAATGTTATTAAAATGCTTATATCTTTGTAACGGTCTATTTGAAGGCACTGAATTCACCGCAGTGGTCTACAGAGATGTCTGACGCACAACTGTGTCGCTTGGTCTGTGGATATGATGATTGGTGACGTCATATGATAGTTGGAAAAACTGGTCTTTACTTTTCTGCATCACTGTATGTATGTATGCAGTATGTATGCTGCATTATCATTATCCTTTGTAGCTTTTATATTTGTTCAGTTATAAACTGTTCTTGAATAATCTGTTTGTTTTACTTACTTTCACCTCAAAACACAAACATAAATGAACTGTCGCATGTAAGAAAACTATGATAATTTTCACTGTTGTCTTCCCTGTAGACTGGGTGTCGCAAATATGCGACATTACAAAACGGTTATGGTCTGTGTGTATTGTTAACCAAGTTACAGCCGGTCTATGTGTATAAGATTCAAATGTATACCTCGGTCTGTGGCAAACCGCGGCGTCGCATATATGCGACGCTCAGTAGCGAACGTGTTAACAAAACAAACTAGTCAAACTTGAGTTCCACTAAATCACAAAATCTTTGACAACAATGTAATGATAATGTACATCCTTTTCTTACTGCAGATCCTTTCTTGCCTTCCTTCCTTTCTTGTCCTTTTCTTGCTTTTAAATTCTGCAGTCAATATTTTCCTCTCTCGTAACTTGTGTGTACAATGTTCAAGTAATTTTTAGTTATAAATATAATTTTACAATATAGTAATACTATAATACATGATTTTGGGATGGCTCCAAAATAGCTAACCGCCTGTGAGAGGTAATATTTTGTAATAAATTTATGGATGATCTTTGTACTGGATCAGTATCTACATTTATTACTACGGTACTAGATATCCCGTTGCTCAAAATCAAGCAAAACTGCAACTTTTCATAAAAGAGTAAAAGAATAATACATTTAATTTAAAGTGTAATTTTATAAAATAACCTCTATGTAACTATAAATATTAGAACAACTATTATATGCTACACAATGTAAAAATTGTCAAGAGCAATAAATAAATAAATAAATAACAAAAACCTAAACAGCTAGCTAGACCTCAATTAAAGAGTCACTCCAAAGATAGGACTTATTATAAAAATATGAAAATGTGAAAATGTGCACAGCAACGGACTAGATCGGCAGGAAGTGGGCGGTACTGAAACGACTGTTCTAGTGGGAAAGATTTGAGACCAGTGATCACGTGTCTAAATACAATGCTTTCCTAAATTTAAGTCAAATATCACAGTAAACGGTCCGTTTTAACGAGTTTTTAGTGGCGTCGGATTAACCGGAAAACCCGTTATCTGGACTGGCCCCGGTCCCGAGGAGTCCAGATAAGAGGGTGTCAACTGTATATAAATTATTTTCAATACGCACCTTTATTTATTTCAAAATATTGCCTTTCATGGGCGGATAGCTATTTTGGAGCAATACTAAAGAAAAGTAAAGAAAATAAAATTACTGTTAATTATTAACAAAAAGTATGTCAAATAACACTTGTAATAATATATTTACACTAACTTATACTGTTTACTCAAAAGAAGGTAAATACATATATATAAGATAAGATGGTAAGTGGTGATCCATTTTGATTGGACACTCCAATTATCAACAGACCCAATAGGTGAATCTTGGGTAATTACAAGTGTTATTTGACCTATGTTTTGTGCTTTCAGGTATTTTAATAACACGTACGATGCTTATCATGAAGTTGTTTAATTATTAACAGTTCATTAGTAGGTTAATTATTACTTGCCTCAATATCAATACATTCATCAGAAGCTTCCCCCTTATCATCTGAGTTTGAACGCTCTGAAAACACACTCTGGACAAAAATATGTACAAAACAAAATGATTAGCTTTTCTTTACTTAAGAATAAACAAACAGCTTCAACAAAGTACCCTAATGTTCTTGTATCATTAAAAATTGTATTCCTGTTTTTACCAAGAATAAGTTAGGCCTGCACTAGTATTTTTCATTTTTCCATTGATTTTGGTGGCTGACTATAAAAGCCAAACAATGTATAAGTTTACTCGTTTACTACTAAAGATTACTATATTAACCTATTAAGGAACGCGAGAGGACCTCTCGAAAATTGCACAATTTAAGAAGGTTCAAAGCTCTACCATACAGAATAATTGACCTCAGGTTCAATCACGACTGGCGCACCCTCACTACTGTGGCGAGCCCGAGCGACTGTTGCGCCACCAGCGGGCAATGTTCTCATATGCTGCTTATTACAAGCAGCCACCGTCGTGGGTCACAGCGCACCCCCCACTTCCTACCTTACCACAGTCACAATTATTTTGTTAAAATTATATTATATTTATTATATTATTAAAATTATGGTTATATTATTGTCAAAACTATTATTTACTAAGGCAATTACTAGCCTATCCTTAGTTGAAATCAAATTATTCACATTCTTGTGAGATACACATAAGTCAAATGTATTTTTTCTGAAAGTTAAAAAATACCTCTTGTCATCCTCTCTGAGATCATCATAAAGTGTGAAAAATACTACTTTTGTAGGTCATTCTTTTAGTAACGGATGGACTCCAATACTTTTGTTTGCCTCATTAAGTATTTGATATTTTAATATTTTTGTTGTCTCATGTATATGACGCTTAAGTAAATGTAAAAGTAGAAGAAATAGTTCATCTTCTTCACTTGACGACTAGCTACATCATTCACAGTGAGAAACTTCATATAAGTCTGTATACAATTCGGCCAGATGTGCGACCTAGCCACACCTGTGGCCACCCCAAGCGACTGAGAAGTCACAGTCGCGAGCCACTCGAGCGGCCGTACATAATAAAGATCTTAGGGAAGCGATAAGCTTTTTTCAATTTATGATAACAGCTAATTTGAACAAAGCAGCAACAACAAGCGGTGATGCACAATGAAAACTGTCAAAAACTAAATTGTTGTGGTATTGTGCAAATAGGGTAATTTTATTTTTTAAGTGCATAATCATCAACTTATTGACTTTAATTTTTTCCCAAATTTTGATTAAAAAGTATCATGTTTGTTTTGCCCAAAATAATGACTGGGAAACGGAGTAGCATGTTAATAGTTTTAGAGCATTTACTGATCAAGGTAATGACAAATATGGAAGGAACTAATACTATAGATATGAATGTTTGGAGTACCTATGTCAATAACATGGAAATCTACTTGATCAATTTTTTCCAAGAACACCACAGGCTTAATGGAGATAGTCATCTTTTATTATTTTACTCTCCTAGGGCTATGCTCTGAAAGCTTAAGTGTTGGTGAAATTAAAGTTAATGAAAGAATAAATTGTTGTTATAAACTATTTTATTTTCTTACAAACACAACACTGAAATTTAGTAAACAACTGCATATGTAAAATGTAAAAAACATATGATGGTCCATCACTAATCCAGACTAGATGAGTTGGGTTGCAACAACATCCCCCTCACCCAACTTAGCTAGATAAAAGTCCTAATTAATTTCTTTGTTGTTGAAACCTACTTTTGTAGAGTTGTTCTCATATAGTTTCTTATGACTATAAGTGTTGTGAATACCTTTCTTGGAGTTGAACTGCTTTGTTTTGCAATACAATGTATCTTCATTATTCGTACAAGTGTCTTTTGACCTAGTTTCACTCTCCTCAATTACTTTTATTTTTAAATCATTAGGAGAAGGTAAAGTGCCTCTAGACTCAATTGCTACCCGGAAATTTTCAAATGATGATGATAAGCTGTACAGTAGCATAATGCTAAGTAAGTCTGAATTGATAATGATGTCCATTTCTTGAAGTTTGTCAACAATCTCCATAAATTTGTTGACATGATCCCTAGCATCTTCTCCATCTTTCATTTTAGGAACTATTAACTGCTTTAATAATGTGGCTTTCCTTGCAGGACCTGAACTTTGGTAATTGTTCTGCAGGCAATCCCATACTTCTTTGGAAGTTTTGCAGTTTTTTACTAATTTCAATTCACTAGGTGAAATTATCAATATTAGTTCTGATTTTGCTTTAAGATCTTTAACTATCCAGGCATTCATACCAACTTCATCCTCAGGACATTTGTTCTCCCCAGATACATATTCCATTAAGGTTTTGTTGATTAATATAGCTTCAGCTTGAATTTTCCAAGTGTCATAATTATTTCGTTTCAAAGGTTCAATTCTATAGCCAAAACTCATTTTACTTATTTTTAAGCACAGAATACTGTAAAATGATTACTTTATTATTCCAAATGGCCCATAACCTTTGTTGGTGAAATTAAAGTTAATGAAAGAATAAATTGTTGTTATAAACTCTTTTATTTTTTTACAAACACAAAACTGAAATTTAGTAAACAACTGCATATGTAAAATGTAAAAAACATATGATGGTCCATCACTAATCCAGACTAGATGAGTTGGTTGCAATATCCAACAATAAGTACAATGTTGTTCCTCGAAGTAACCATGAAAAGCCACTCGAGATGCCACCCAACCCGGTACGGCAATCAATAGTTTTATTAATACTATCTTATGAAGTCAAACAGGGCGAAGCCTGCTGGTTAACAGTTAGTATATTATAAACATAAACCATCATCTAAGAGAAAATGATTAATTATGCTGTCACCTGAATTTGAATGGGAGTATCTAATCCAGTCGGTGAAAGCGGTGGCTTTTCTTCAAAGAATTCAATTTCTTCCTTGACAACATTCTGAATTAACAAAAATTAATATGAATGGGTTTATATAGATATCAAATGATCAAAAGCTTAAAAGTATACGTATTTACTATTTTGTTGTTATAGGATCTAATTTTCAAACACTAAAAAATAGTGATATATTAAATACTGTGCTGTACAAGATAGGATGATTAATAGATTTAAATATAAACGAGCAAATAAAATAAAATATTATTATTGTATATTTAATTTGGCAATACATAAATTGCAATCGTCCATAATGAGTTATCTCTTAGATCTGTCCCTATTCCAAAATAGGGTTTGCAAACTCAATTTTTTTTATTTCCTTTTGGCTGACTCCTTCTTACACACAGAGAGGTCTTCTGCAGTTACGCATTTGGCCATCCATACTACAGTTTGAACACCAAAAAGGTGTTTTTTTTTTAAAGTATTTATTTACAATCTATTCTATACTAGAACAATAAGTAAAATTCATGAAAATTTTAGCATGGGTTAGTTACACTCCATCAAGTGCACTAACATACAAAAACCTATAAAAGTTTAACTAAAAACGATTTGGAGGTCTATTGGATTAACTCTTTTGAGCGTATATGTAGCTTCACTATTATCAAGGAGGTTAACTGCCAGGAAATTTGGATGGCTTTCTAATTTTCTTTGATATTTTTTGCTTAGTTTTTTTTAATTTTTTTTCTAATATAGGGTAATTTTGTATCTTGATGAATAACTTTATTTGTGACAAACCAAGGTGCTGGTAAAATGTTTCTTAGGGTTTTGGATTGAAATCTTTTAACTATTTCTATGTTTGAGTTTGACGTGGTTCCCCAGAGTTGGATACCGTAGGTCCAAATAGGTTTCAATATAATTTGGTATAAAAGTAATTTATTTTCAACAGATAATTTTGAATTTCGACCAATAAGCCAATTTAGACTCAGAAATGAGGGTATCGTTGTTAGATTAGCTAGTAACTTTTTTTTAGGTAAATAGTATTATACAAAATAAATATACATACCGTATCATATAAATCATGCAATTAATAACTAAATCAAAGGTTGACCAAATATTCTCTAGCAGGAGTGTCACACAGAAAAAATACTGGGGGGGGGGGACACTTTGAATTTCCCAACTAGTAGGCCTATATATTACTCAGATTTCCAAACTAATTAATAGATTAAGTTTTAACAGAAAGAAGGATTTTTCATCTTTAAAGCCACATCTTTATAGCTGATATACGGTACACAAAAAACAAGAAATTAAGGTTTTTCTGATACAGAATTGTGTTTAATCTGTCACTACACTGTACTGATCAATAATATGTTAAGTTTACACAGCCTCTTTGAATACACTCAGTGAATACGGATCTCCACGAGCAGCTAAGAAAGAAATTTCCCAAAAAAGCCTTGAATTACTGTGTACTACGGATACGTTACATAACAAACTTTTATTTACTCAACATACAAAACTCCCAACACTTTTTTACTTTAATTATTAACTAGTGCATATACCTGTTGCTCGAATCCGAACAATTGCCAAGTATTACAGGAGTTACGGTATTTCAAAACGAATAACAGTCATAATTTCTGATGAGCTTAAAAGAGTCAACTAAAAGATTATGTAACTAATTAATAATGGAAATACCCCCGCCGCAGCAAACCTGCAGACTAAGCAAATTTCCATTTGACTGATTGGATTCACAATGAAATGTCTACTTAGAAATATAACATTTATTCCCTATTTATATAGAATTAGTTTAACAAGTACTTAGGTTTTCTGCATCAGGGAGGGTAAAACCATTTTTTTTTGTAAAATGTTAATAGTTAGTAAGAAATAAAAACATTTTCCAAATTTGATCAAAATATTTTCATAAACAAGCAAACTACAACAGTTTACTTATTCTCCATAAAAATAACATGGGAATTTTAAATTTACAATTTTTGGAATTTTCTCCATAACTATTAGGCGGATAATAACACTTCAATATATTAAATTATTTGTTTTTTTTAAGCTCTACAAAATGGGTTGGAAAGAAATTGCTAAATTTTATGTTTTCTTGGGTCAAAAATGGGAAAAACCTATTTTTACCCCATAAAACCCCCCGTAAACCCCCGTTCCCATGGTCCGATCATGCTGGATCGGGAACTCGTTAGAATAAACGTAGGTTTACACGTTTGTACCAAATTTCATCAAAATCGGATCATTTTTGCTCGATTTATCGTGCTAACGGACACACATATATATATAAATAAATATATAAATATATATATAAATATATATATATGTATAAATATATTTATATATATGAATTTGAATGGATGGTGTTTTTGGCCTCTAGGGACCTCAAAATGAAAAAAAAATCGGTCCCGCGTCCAGGTCTTACCATGAGTACTACGGTAATAGCTTATTCCCTATATGGGAAATTCGCTAATACTCATGATGTACATAACAGTTTGATATAATCAAAATTTCATGTAAATATTTGATAATTTTTCCAAACTCATCTTGTTTTTTAGTGTTTTCTATGGAGATGTTTCCTGACATACCCATAGCCGCATAAGGTTGTCCATGTTTATCTCTATTGATAATGTATATAGCCTACGTGGTACCCCCATTCTTGCTACATTACAAATTGTAATTAAAAATTTCAGTCATATACCAACACAAAATTTGTCAGTTGAACTCCTCCGCCATTTCTTAACCGATTTTGACCATTCACGTCTCATTGGAAAGAGCGTATCGCAATGTCTTGTAGTTTTGCAAACTGACCTTAAATTTTTGAAAAAGTCCCATGGGCTCTACCTTTAAAGTTCCCATATGTTATCCTTATAAAGATCATATTTGTTTACATTATGGTCAGCTGGATAATTTAATTGCTGTTAATATTTAAGTTGCAATTCAAGGAAACATTTGCTACAAACATAAAATTTAACTGACTAGGTTGAAATTAAATTGGGTTTGCGTACATATTACAATGAAAAAAGTGAGAAAGCCTGGACAATTTGATATATATCACCAAATAAGAAAACTGAATTTACACAGTATACTGTATTTTTTTAGCGATTATTAAAAGAACCCATTAGCAAACTATGGAAACATAGAAAAGTTATAGAACACCACCAAGTAGGAGAAATAGAGATGATGTTTTATAAAGAATTTATTATCGATTAGCCTTGTAACAATTATTTGTTACAATAAATTTGTAAGAAGTTGTTGTTGTAAGTCTTTGATTTAGATAGGTTTCAATAATTTGCTTTCACAGAGGGATTTACATAATATGTAGGTAAGTCAGCCGTCCAAGGACTAAGTTATTTACCTATTCATGCAAGAAGGGGATTAGTTTCATGGTTTGCAGACAGATAGAGTCTTTGTGGGTGTACTCCAAGATTATATTAGGGAGTGAGTAAAAATTTAAAAACGTACGTTTTCAGGAAAAGCACTTTGCAAATTTTTTCAAAACTTTTATTATTTTTTTATTTCATTAACATTATAAGTTTCATAAAATGTCCATGGTAACGCAATATCTTTGGTAGTTTTTTTTTAAAAGATCATCTTTATTGGAAAAACACAAAATCCTGTCACAACCATAACAGACGTTTAAATGAATATTAAAAATAGCTAATATTATTTTTATAACTATGTTTTGCTATAAACTAATTTACTTTTATGACCATTATACAATAAAAAGGTCACTGAGCTTTTGTTATAGTTGGTCTTTCTAGAAAAAAAAAACTAAAAAAAATTTAAAAAAGCCAATAAAATTTTTTAAAGTTTGTATAACTCCGAAAAAACTTACCCGAGACCCGAAAGATCGTTATGTTAGTATAGAGGTGTGCTTCTTTTGTGTATAAAACATTGAAATATGACGATATTTTAATTTTTAAAATTTTTATGATAGAAATCATAAACGTGATGGTCAGGGACAAGCGGTATGGTCGTGAATTTTCTGAAATAATCTAAATATTTCTAAACAATCCTTCGATTATACTGTTAGTTATAATAAAAATATGTGTTTCAATTGAACTAAACTGTTCAAATTACAATTATATTAAAGGTATTGTCACGACCAAACACACTATAATCCATAAGGCTGGATTGGTCGTGAAAAAACCCGCGATGGTCGTGAAACTTTGGTCGTGAAATTACGTGTTATTTGGCTCTGTTCTGGCGGTAGCCCTGCACCTCATGTTCGAGAATACAAAGTGGATTTCTAGGTTAATCTAGCAATTGAAATATCTTATAAACAAAAATTAACACCATGTCTACTTCATCGAATGACTACGTACGGTCATGGACACACCAAAATTACAAAAAACACAACCTTTCCTTTATTAATCTTGTAATTCCTCCTTTCAACTCGAAACGACCGGCACTACAATCCTGACGTACACCCCGAACTAGTCTCTAAAACCAACTGACTCCATCGACGCCAGGCTTGCCACTGTCGTGCTCCAAAGTTGAAAATCTTTCCCAAATGGTCGTGACGCCAAATCGAGGGACAGACTTATTTTGTCATGGTAGTCAGTTTGCAATGACAATAAAATTATAATATGCTCCTTTTTTGTAAGTTTAATAACCATTGACGACATAAAAATATGGCTTTATATATTTCGGCATGAATAATTAGTCTAAAAACAGCGTGAAAGCTGGAAAATGTACCCTAGGGACACGTGTTGGTTGTGAATTTTAAGACTTTAAAAACCTAATTAAGAACCTATTTAAAACCAAATAAATGTGTGTAACATGTTGCCCCCGTGCCAAAAAATATTAAAACCCATAATAATAAACTACAAATCCAGTATCTACGAAGCAAAAGGCCAGCGACATGAAAACGTACGTTTTTAAATTTTCACTCGAGTGCAGACTACAGTAATGTCCTCATTTTGTCATTTCTTGTTGTTCGCATCCAGAGAAGCAGATCGTCTTATGTGATATAACCCAGAACGAGGTAAGATTTCTAAGAAAATTTTAGTTTATTTAAATCACCTACTGTATTATACTCCAGGAAACAGAGTAAGAGA